ACTCGGCTCAGGCTCTCCCTCTATTCACCAGAATGGAGGTTTGCAAACAGTGAGTGCGCCAATTACCAGATACCAAAGAAAAAAAGAAAATCAGAACAAGGCAAAACTGACAAAGCATATTGCCCACCTTTGTCCCAAGGTTCCTGCGGCATTTTTCCATGGTGTTTCTGCTCCCACTGTTTTGTGTTGCCACTTGGTCTCGCCCAGGATGTCGGCTCAGACCTCTGAGCCTGGCCCGGCAGATTCAAAAGTACACGATTTTTTACTTCAGCTCCAAACTCCACAAGCTATAAGCCTTCAAACCTTTAAAATATTCCTATCTCTGAGGTTCTGAGTTTTGGAGCTCTGCCCTCGATCTGCTTTGCCTGGTATTCTGTGTTATTGCTGACTGCAAACTTCACTGCACCTCCACCCTAGCCGCCATCAAGCTCCACCTCCTTCCCAGACTGCATTTCATTTTTGACAATTTCTAAATTTCCTAGATTCATACTTTGTACATTCCAGGTTCTGATTATTAATGGATATTTACAGCTGTTTCTCATAATTTTGAACATCATACTAGTAGAAAGCAAAAGGTCATTAAGAAGATCAGAAAGGAAAAGACCAAAATGAATGTCAGAAGAGACTCTGAAAATTGTTCTCCAGCATAGATGCTAAAGCAAATGGAAGAAAGGAGGAGGTAAAAGAGTTGATTAGAAATTTTCAAAGGGCAAATTTTGTCAAGAAGACAAAAATAAAACATTACAATGAAATGTGCAAAGATCTAGAGTTAGAAAATCAAAAGGGAAGCCCATGCTCAGCATTCTCAAGCTGAGGGAACTGAAGAAAAAATCCAAGCCTCTGAGCTCTGGTAGCATAGTGGTTATGAATTGGGCTGCGAACCTTAAGGTCAGCGGTTTGAAACTACCAGCCACTCCGCGGGAGAAAGATGAGGCTTTCAACTCCCGTAAAGATTTACACCCTTGGAAACCCTGTACAGGGTCGCTATGGGTCAGAACCGACTCAATGGTACTTAACAACAACAACAACAACTGCAATATTGAAGGATTCTATGGGCAAACTACTGAATGATACAGAAAGCATCAAAAGAAGATGGAAGGAATACAAAATCACTATACCAAAAAGAAAGGTTGATGTTTAACCATTTCAAGAGGTAGCATATTATCAAGAGCCAATGATACTGAAGGAAGAAGTCCAAGGTGCTTGAAGGCATTAGCAAAGAACAAAGCACTGGGAATTGATGGAATACAAATTGAAAACTTTCAGCAAACTAATACAGCATTGAAGGCACTCACTCAGCTATGCCAAGTAATTTATGAGACAGCTACCTAGCCAGCTGATTGGAAGAGATCCATGTTTGTGCCCATTCCAAAGACAGGCAACCCAATGGAATGTGGAAACCATAGGACAATATCATTAACATCACATGAAAGTCAAATTTTGCTAAAGTGAATACAAAAACGGCTGCAACCATACTTTGACAGAGAAGTTACATAGGTTGAAGCTGGATTCATAAGAGGACATGGTATGAGGGATATCATTGCTGACATCAAATGGATCTTGGCTTGAAAGCAAAGAATACCAGACAGTTGTTTACCTATGCTTTCTTGACTATGCAAAGATTTTCAATTGTGTGGATCATGACAAGCTATGGACAACAATGCGGAGAATGAGTATTCTAGAATACTTAATTGTGGTCATGAGGAATCTGTACATAGATCAAAAAGCAGTTTTTCAAACAGAACAAGGGGACACTGAATGGTTTGAATGATTTAAAATTAAAAGAAAGGTATGCACTAGGTTTGTATTCTTTTACTATGCTTACTCAATCTGTATGCTGAGAAAATAATCCAAGAAGCTGAATTATATGAAGAAAAAAACCTGACATCAGGATTGGAGGAAGACTCATTAACAACCTGTGATATGCAGATTGCTGAAAGCAAAGAGAACTGAAAATGCTGATGAAGATCAAAGACCACAGCCTTTGGTATGGGTTTCACTTCTATGTAAAGAAAACAAAAGTCCTCACCACTGGACCAATAAACAACATCCATTAAAATGGAGAAAAGATTGAAGTTGTCAAAGACTTCAATTTGCTCATATTAACCATTAACACTCATCGAAGCAGCAGTCAGGAAATCAAATGATATATTGCATTAGGCAAATGTGTGGCACAAGACCTCTTTAAAGTACTGAAGAGCAAAGATGTCAATTTGAGGACTAAGGTGTGTCTCTGACCCAAGCCATGGTATTTTCAATAACCTCGTATGCATGTGAAAGTTGTACAGTTAATAAGGAAGACAAGAAGAATCGATGCATTTGTGTTATGGTGTTGGAGGAGTATATTAAAAGTACCATGAACTGCCAAAAGAATAAACAAATCTGTGTTGGAAGAAGTGGAACCATTTTGGAATTTGAATTTCGTTTTAGAACCCAGGATGGCTAGGCTTCACCTTTCGTACTTCGGACATATTATTAGGAGCAACGTGTCCATGGAGAAGGACATTATGTTTGGTAAAGTGGAGGTCAGAGAAAAAGAGGAAGATCCCCAAGTAGATGGATTGGCACAGTGACAGCAGCAATGGGTTCAAATGTAGCAATGATGGTGAAGCTGGCACAGGACTGGGCAGTGCATAGTTATGCTTAGGGATGCTATGAGTTGGTACCTACTCAATGGCATCTAACAACTTTAGAAAACCAGTTTCTACAAGGTTCAAGATTCAAAAGAACACTCAAGGGCAAAATGGCTTCAGTGGGTCACCATAACTCTATGGACTCCAGAATTTAAACAGTTTCTAAATATTAATGAATTTCTGAAGCAAGCTTTTCACAGTAAAACTCATCCCTCTTTCAGTGTCATCTACTTCCTCTATTCCTCAGCTCTATCATATACCATTTACTTTATACCCAATGAGCTCAAACATAACAAATTATAAGGATGGTACAGGGCAGGGCAGTTTTGCATAGTGTGCTATGAGTTGAAACCAACTGGACAGCACCTATAACAGCAACTTGAAATTGTCAAAGACTTTATTTTGCTCAGATCCACTATCATCACTCAAGGAAACATCAATCAAGAAATGTACTGCACTAGGCCAATCTGTTGCAGAAGACCTCTTTAAAGTGTTCAAGAGCATGTCAGTTTGAGAACTATGGTGTGATGGCCCAAGCCATGGTATTTTCAGTATCCTCATATACATGTGAAGATACTGAAAATACCATGGCATGTGGAGAGTCCTGATGTGGCGCTGTGGGTTAATGCGCCAGACTGCAAAGCTGTTTGAACTGCAAGGTCGGTGGTTTAAGCTCACCAGCTGCTCCTCGGAAACCGTATTCAAGGTCGCTATGGGTCGGAACTGACTCAACAGCGTTTAACAACAACAACATACACATGTGAAAGTCGGACACTGAATAAGGAAGACTGTTGGAGAATATCAAAAGTAATATGGACTGCTAGAACAAACACCTGCGTTGGAATAAGTATAGCCAGAATGCACCTCAGAAGCCAGTATTAGACTTCATCTCTCATACTTCGGACATATTATCAGGAATGACTAGTTCCGGGAGACCGATATCATGCTTCGCAAAGTGTAGGGTTAAGGACAAAGAGGAAGAGCCCAAACAGGTGGATTAGCACAGTGGCAGGAGCAATGGGCTCAAGCATAACTATGGTGAGAATGGCTGGACCCCGGCAGTTATTTTGTTCTGTTGTGCAGTAGGTCGGCTCTGGTCACAACAGGCATCTAACAACAACAGCAACAGTAACTGGTAAAGCTAATAGAGGACAGAGCTGGAATTCAAAACTTCATTCTGCAGCCCTTTTTCTGTTATATTCTGGAGTCCTGGTGTGGCGCTGTGGGTTAAGGTGCTGGACTGCAAGGTTAGTTTGAACCGCAGAATCAGCGGTTCAAGCTCACCAGCCGCTCCTTGGAAACCCTATACAGGGTCTCTATGAGTATAGAGCTGGAATTCAAAACCTCATTCTGTAGTCTTTTTTAGATTCCACAGTAATGGTACACACAATAATTAGTAATTTCCTTCTCGAAGTATTCTTTATTCTTTGGTATAATTCCTTTTAAAGGCAGTTTCTGATGGTTCTAACACTTTTTAAAAATTGCATTAAGCTCATTGGTTTGTGGTTGCTTGCATTGCTCTCCGGGGGTAGGGGCGGGGGTTGCAGGGATGAGCGTTTTCCGTAGTGGTTAAAAGTTGGGCTGCTAACCTCAAGGCCAATAGTTCGAAACTACCAGCCATACCGCGGGAGAAAGATGAGGCTTTCTGCTCCCGTAAAGATTTGCAGCCTCGGAAACCCTGTACAGGGTTGCTATGAGTCAGAACCGACTCCACGGCACACCACCACATCCACAGCGCCTAGCATATTTGCCACTTAGTAGGCGGCCAATTATTTACTTAACAAATAATAGTTGTTGTTCTCAAGCTCTGTCCAGTAGGTTCTGACTCATATACTCATACTTTGTAGGTTTTCCGAAGAACGGCTGGTGGGTTTGAAACACCGACCTTAAAGTTAGCAGTCCAAGTTTATCCTACGAAAAACAGCGAATGCCAAACAAGACTTTTCTACGTCAGAGGGAAAAGCCAATCAAATGAACTAGACCTTTACTCTTCCGGCCATCCCCTCACGCTCTTCCCCAGGGTCCCCACCTCTGGATGCGTAGGGCTTTAGGCGGAAAACACCTCCGGCACCGGAAAAAGAGCGGCGGCCTTCACTTTTGCGCCTGCGCTCCAACGTACAGGAGCCGAGGATTCTGAAGCCGAGGAACTTCATTGGTTCTGAGATCCGCCCTTTGGATGACGTCACACGCTGAGACAAGGCCTCAGCCAGAGACAAGCCGGTGTCAGGTTTACAGGCTGAGCGGAGCGTGCGTGCGTGCCTTCCTCTCCACGCGTCCCTCAACGCGCTTGCGCAGGTCCCCCTCTCCACCCCCCCACTCAACTCACACCCCGCCCCATCCCATCCCCTCCCCGTCCCCTGCAAGGCCATGGCGCTTCGCTACCTGCTGCTTCCTGGTCGGGGAGGCTGCTGGGCCCGTGGCCTCCCGCTGCTCCTGCTGCCCGGCGGTGGCCCGGGGCTGAGTGAGCGTTTCTGCCTCCGGACGGTGAGTCCCAGCGCTCGGGCCCAGTGGCGCGCGATCACCAAGGTCACCACTCTACTTCCTCTCACCCACACCTCACTGATTGAGGGACCGCGTTCCTGCCAGCTGAACGCAGAACCCCGACTTTCTGACGCTTTACTCAGTTGTTCCAACAAGTACGCTTGCACTTGGCTAAGCCGAGGTGTGGAGTTTTGAAAACGAGTCTCCAGTGCATTTGGATTTCCGTGCTTCAACAATCTCCAAAAGATCATTTGCCAGGGTCCTCTGACTTGATTCAGGATCAATCTGTTTTACAACTGCGGTAACTGAGGCCTGAAAGGGTTAAGAAACGTCCCTATTTCGGGCATTGCTTGCTGTAGTTTGCCTGATTTCATCACATTGGAAAGTAAAATTAAGTTGTGTTTGTGCGTTGCATGGGCGTAGTGAGCACTGAGTAGCTAGAACCACAGGTTTGGGAGTGAAGGTTCCGTTAAGTGGTTGTTACATGCTATTGAGTAAGGTCCGACTCAGCGACCATATGTACAAACATCGGAGCACTGCCGTCCTGCTCCATACTCACAGTTGTTATGTTTGAGCCCATTGTTGCAGCTGCTGTTTAACTGCATCTCGTTGAAGGTCTTCGCCCTCCTAATATGTGCAAAGTAGTGAGACAAGTGCTGTTGTCCTAAGAAGCATTCTGGGTGTACTTTATTCTAAGATTTGTAGAATAAGCAGTGGACTGCTAACTACATAGTCGGTGATGCAAACCCACGAGCCACACCTCAGAAATACTATATGAGGTTGCTCTAAGTTGGAACCGACTGGAGGGTACTTTTAGCAACAGTAAACCATAATTCAAGAACGAGTTGGAGCTGTAGGACAAGCATTGGACTTTGATAGAAGGTCAGCGGTTCTAGCCCACCAGTCATACAGAAAGATGAGGTTTCTGCTCCTGGAAAGAAATTTACAACCATGGATAGTGTCTTTATGAGTGAAATTGACTCCAAGACACTTACAACACCACCACCACCTTAATTCCAGTACATCATTTCTCCTGTCAAATTTATTCCTTCTGTTTTCACTTGGATTAGGTACACCTTAGTCCTTAAAGTGATATCTTTGCTTTTTAACACTTTAAAGAGGTCTTTTGCAGCAGATTTGCCCATGGCAATATGTCGTATAATTTCTTGACTTCTACTTCATGGACTTTGATTGTGGATCTGAAGTAAACATTTATTGTGATGTTTATTGGTCCAGTTGTAAGAATTTTTGTTTTCTTTACACTGAGGTTTAATCTGTACTGAAGGTTGTAGGCTTTGATCTTCGTTAGGAAGAGCTTTAAGTCCACTTCACTTTCACTAAGCAAGGTTGTGTTATCGCCACAGCACAGGTTGTTTATGAGTCTTCCTCCAATCCTCATGCTGTGTTCTTCATATAGTCTAGTTTCTCAGGTTATTTGCTTAGCATACAGATTGAATGAAGTATAGTTAAAGAATACAACCTTGATGCACTCCTTTCCTGATTTTAAACCATCCCCTTGAGTCCTGGCAGCATAGTGGGTTGGGCTGCAAACCAGAAGGTCAGCTGCTCCAAAGGAGACAGATGAGACTTTCTGCTCCCGTAAAGATTTACTGTCTTGGAACTCCTATACAGGGTTGCTGTGAGCCAGCACTGACTCCACGGCACAAAACCACCACCACCCAATCCTTTTTATCTGTTTACTTTTTCATTTAGTGAATATTGAAGGGACCATGGTGGCGCAACAGTAAGGTGCTCAGCTTCTAATCAGAAGGTTGACAGTTTCAACCTACTAACTGCTCTGTGGGAGAAAGATATGACACTCTGCTTCTGTAAAGATTACTGATTTGGCAACCCTGTGGGGCAGTTAGGTCTACACTCTCCTGTAAGGTTGCTATGAGTCAGAGTTGACTTGATGGCAACAGGTCTGATCAAATATGTTTTGGGAAACACTTGGCTTAACAATTAGATAGTCAGATTTCCCAGAGCTTTTAATATGTTGTTGCTATGTGTCACCAAGTTGGTTCCAACTCATAGTGACCCTGTATACGGTTTCTGATGAGTAGCTGGTTAGCAGTCCACTGCTTATCATACATTGCCATGCCAAGACTCCCTTAATATGTTAATGTTACACAAATCCATATTGGGGAAATACAATATGGTGTTTCACAGACTTATTCCACTATGGAATCTAACTTTTTTTTTTTTTTTTTTCCCTGAGAAATGTTGACCTGTTCTGGAGGATGTACTCAGACTTCTAAGAACTCATCTCTTAGACTGCTAGTCTAAGAGTTTGTATAGGCTCAGACGTATGAGGTAGATTGGCAATGCTGCATGCCCATCCTGACTTTGTTTCTTCATCTATGAAATGTGGATAATATGAGGGAACTTAAAAAAGTTCATGGAAAAATGAAATGAAAAGATAATGGAATTTTCCCACAAACTTTTTGAAGCCTCCTTGTATCAACCTTAAACAAATTATGTTGATAATATGTTTAGGAAGAACACTATCACATAAAAAAACCAAAGCTAAAGCAGAGTTGTCATTGAGCTGATTCCAACTCCTGGCAAACCCATGTGTGTCAGAGTAGCATTGTACTCACTCAGTGTTCAATGGCAGTAACCTTTTGGAATTAGATCCTGAGACCCTTCTGAGACCCCTGTGAGGACCTTAAACCACCAACTTTTGGGTTAGTAGCTGAGTGTTTAACTGTCTGCCCCGTGTTGGGACTCCTGTCACATAAGAGGTTATTGTTGTTGTTATGTGCCATGGAGTCAGTCCCGACTCATAGCGATCCTACACAGGGTTTCCGAGGCTATAATTCTTTATGGGAGCAGACCGCCTCATTTTTCTCCCGCGGAACCGCTGGTAGTTTTGAACTGCCAACCTTGAGGTTCGCAGCCCGATTCGTAACCACTACGCTACCAGAGCTCCTTTAAGAGGTTGTAGCTGCTGCTATTTAAAAATGAACCTTGATAGCACCGTGTTTGACTGCTAACCGAAAGGTCAGGTTTAAACCCACCAGCCACTCTGCAGGAGAAAGATGCAGCCATCTGCTTCTGTGAAGATTGAGCCTTGGAAACCCTATAGTGCAGTTCTTTTCTTCTCCTAGTGGAGTTGTGGTGTAGCGCTGCAGGTTAATGTGCTGGACTGCAGTGGTGGTTTGAACTGCAAGGTCAGCGGTTCAAGTTCACCAGCTGCACCTCAGAAACCCTATATAGGGACACAATGAGTTGGAATCAATGGTACTTAACAACAACAACAATAGGGTCTATATGAGTTGGAATCGACAGCAGTGGGATTGGATTTTTTTTTTTTTTTGCTGCTCGTCATGATTGTCTACCTTTCTCTTTTTGTCTCTGGCCAGTATCCCCAGTTGTATTTGTTCAACAATATGGACTTATTTAATCTATGAACATAATGTGTTTTGCTTCTTATTTTTACTTTTCCTGGAACACTCCCAGACCATGATCTGTCTTCTGGTGAATCCCTGCTCTTGTGAAGTCTTCCCTAGAGCTCTTAAACATGTAATCATTTCCTCCTTTTTGTAGTTATGAGTTATGATGTTGTTGTTAAGCGCCAACGAGTCGACTCTGATCCATAGTGACATTGTATAGGGTTTCCGGGGAGCAGCTAGTGAGCTTGAACTTGCAGTTCAAACAGTTTTGCAGTCTGGCGCATTAACCCACAGCACCACACCAGGTGTAATTGATTGGTTCCCATGACTTTCTCCCTTACGTTTCTGAATTTCTTAGGAATAGGGACTGGTTCTAATTCCTCTATCCCTAAGAAACTTAGACATGATTCTTGTGAATTGACTCCCCACTGCTTGGTAGCACCTGGCCTGGAGCAGATAGATGCTGATTCCATAGTAGATTAAAAATTAGACTCCATAGAAGATTAAGTCTGTGAAGCACCACATAACCTGTAAATTCTCTTAGACAAATATTACTGTGAACCAAGAACAATGTCAGTTTTTGTCCTATATTACTGAATAGAATTTTGTATTTTACTGTTCGTACAATGTTCTTACCTATTTACAATGTTCTTGGTTGATTGTGCTCATGCTGAACCTGTAAAAGAAGGAGTTGTTTAAACAGAGCAAGGGATATTGCATGGTTTAAAATCAGGAGGAGAATGTGTCAGCGTTGTTGTGTCATTTCAATATACTTATTCAATCTGTATGCTGAGCAGATAATCTGAGAAGCTGTATTATATGAAGAATGTGGCATTAGGATTGGAGGAAGACTCATTAGCAACCTGTGATATGCAAAAAACCTTGCTTGTTGAAAGCACAGAGGACTTGAAGCATTTACTGATGAAAATCAAAGACTATGTTGTTGTTGGTAAGTGCTATTGAGTCGGTTCTGACTCATCAAGGAGTGGCTGGTGAGCTTGAACTGCTGACTTTGAGGTTCAAACCCACTTTGCAGTCCAACACATTAACCCATAGTGCCACACCAGGACTCAGCCTTCAGTATAGGTTGCACCTTAACACGAAGAAAATGAAAATCCTCTCAACTAAACCAATAAGCAATGTCATAATAAATGGAGAAAAGATTGAAGTTATGAAGGATTTCATTTTACTTGAGTCCATAATCAACTCCTATTGAAGCAGCAGTTGAGTAATCAAACAATGTATTGTATTGGGCAAATTTGTTGCAGAAGATCTCTTTAAAGTGTTAAAAAACAAAAATGTCACTCTGAAGAATAAATACATCTGATCCAAGCCATAATATTTTTAGTTACCTTGTATAAATGTGAAAGTTTGACAATGAAGAAGGAAGACTGAAAAAGAATTAATGTCTTTGCATTATGGTGATGGTGAAGAATACTGAATAGTCCATGAATTACCAGAAGAACAAACAAATCTGTGTCAGAAGAAGTAGAGCCAGAATGCTTCTAAAAAGTGAGGAGTGAGAGGTTTTGTCTCATATCCTTTGGACATGTCATCAGGAGGCACCAGTCTCTGGAGAAGGACATCATGCTTAATAAAGTAGAAGGT